TCTTATTGTATGGTCTTGTTTTGGCCTTCCATGGGCCTTCCAGTAGCTATTGATGGATGTAGAATAGATTCACTTTGTAGTTCAGCCCTTTAATGAGCTTCCTACAACTCTTAGAAGTCTAGATATGTTAAGTGCAGCACATTGTAATCTTCGTGGTGAATTGGTAGCAGTTGCATCATCCAATAGAGTTGTAGTAGCAGTGTTAATTAGCTCCATTCTTAAACTTGCTCGCCATATTGAACTATTAAAAGTATGGCATCCATCTCATGAATCTAGCTCATTGTAGCTTCGAGTAAGTGTACAGGTACTATAGCAGCTAATGATTTGTATAAGAATTGTGTCCTTTCATAATAATTAGTTTTTTCAATGCTTCATTGCATGATATAAGAAAAGATCAACTTGTTATAGGTTGGATAGTTTTTGTAAGCATCCTACAACATCTCTAAATGGTAAGCACAAATTTTCCATCCTAAATGAGGAATGACAACAGCAGAATAGTTGGATAAATATGCTCCAACTCAAATGGTGGTTGAAATTTAGGAAGAGCAAGTAGTGGTACCTTAATGATCTTCTTTTCCAACAATTCAAAGTGTTCTTCTTTTTACCCCATTGAAGCGACAGCTAGCACTTAATATGTGCATGAAAGGACGGTCATGAGAAATAGTGAACTACATATCAACATTGCTCATACATCTGACTCCTCACCTAATCTCCTTACACTGATGAAAAATGACAACACATGAGATTGATTCAATAATGAATATCTCTCAAACAATTCATGCTGTACAGCTCTCCTAGTTAACTTTCATCACCTAGCAAAAGGTAGAAAACTTCGAGAAAAATGGTTAACCTACTTACCATAAGAATGGCCAGCCACAACTGAAACAAATGAATATATATGAATAAATTGTCATCTAACACAAACGAAGTAGTACAAACTAGAATTAGCACTAATCATCGTCTTTGATTGATAAAGGAAGACAATATGAAGATAAATAGGATGTCATAAAATAGGATACAATCTATCATTTTTAACCAATCTGACTTGCTATTGTTCCTAATAAACTAGAGGAGCATGAGATATGAATTTCCAAAGATCTCATGGCACGCCTTAAGATCCACAATCTTAAGGGTGACCTCATTGATGTATCACTCCATAATATGAATCTAAGGGTGCATTATCGATCCACCTTGTACTCCACTTCCTTCTTGAACTACACCAAGGGATAAGGATTTTGAAGGTTTGTGATCTATAACTTTAATCTGTTGATTAAGTTCTCTAAACTTAATATTTTTCACTACCTTGGTGGGTCACAAGAGATAGAAGCAAATTTGTTGTTCCCTTTTTACTGACAACTTATGGAGTTGTTATATATATATCTTCTTTTTTTTTCTTTTTCTTTTTTTTTGCTATTATGGTAGTCAACCTAGAAAAGAGGACTTCTAAACAAAGGTTATCATGCAGTTATACAATGAACTTCATCGAAGTTGAGGTTTCTTTTAGAACTATGTCTAAGAAAATAGCCTGCTTCTAAAACACTGATACAATCTTGTACGTATTGCCTGAATCATTGGCTCAATCTCTGCCATCAAATCAACTTTTCTCTAGTGACTAATGGGATAAAACATCTTCAAGTTGGCATTGGACTAACATTAAGTCATCCTTATCAATTTATAGAAAGGTATGCTTCAAAACGCTCGAACTAACCATCAAGCTTCTAGGTATTAATGGTAACAACTTAAAATTTTGAAAATGATTTTAAAATAAAAATTTGAAGAAGCCTGAAAATTCGAAACTAGAGCGCTACGGCGTTGCGCTTTTGAGTGCAGCGGCGTTATAGGGAGAAGCGCTAAGGCAATGATTTTTGGCATAGCCGTGCCAATACTTTCTATTCAACAGTAATTATGGATTCAGCATGTAGTGCTACGATGCTGGGTCAAGAGAGTGTCATGATGCCACGCATTGAAATGAGTTTTTATTTACTTTAATATATAAATATCCCTGTTATTTACTCCCCCACTCACTCTTGCACCATTTGCTTGGCCAGGAATAAAGAAAAAAGGAGGAGAAGAGAAGGGAGAGAGGAGAGGAGAAAGATAAGAGAGAAGAAGCTCTCTAGGACTTTTTCGTCCAATGTTCCTGTTATAGATTTTGTTATACTTAAAGTAAGTGATTTTATACTCATATTTTTGATGATTTTGATTTTTACAAGTTTTATCTCTCCCAAATTGATACAAATATATTTTCTCCATATTTATCAATATTTAACTCTGAAACTTTTTTTTATATCATAGATATGAACTGTGAGAACATTTTGATTATAACATTATTAAATTTCACTGAATAAAATAGAAGTTATGATTTTCTTAAGTTATTGACTAGTATACAGATTTCCCTATATTTTATAGATTCTAGCATTTCATGTTGTATTTCATGCATTAAAGAGAGACTAATACAACTAATATAAAAAATATGACATTTGCATGTAAGCAAGAAAAGTTGGTTGTTAACACAAAAACTAATACGGGTTGACACTTCAAACATAATACCCTGTGCAAGAGGGTGCGTTGACTAGCTTTTCTTCAAATAAAAATTCGTGTTGTAATCATGGGAGTAGCCTCTGACCGATTAACTGAATTATGCCGACGGGTAGAGGGTGACGAATCTTAAATTATTATTGAAAGTCACCTATGAATTGACTTAAGATAATGAAGAATGATGGTAAGATAAAGACTGATGATCAACTATTCGACAGTTGGGTTTAAATTAAAGACTGATGACCAAATGTGCGACAGTTGGGGTGGTAAGATTAAAAAACCACATAAAAGCTAGATGTTTTGCCTTGCTCTTCATAATTCTTTTTATGATTATATTTACATTATAGTATATTAAATTGATTAATAGATAGAACAATTGAACTGTTCATATATAGAACTATTGAACTGATTGATAGATAAAACTATTGAACTGATTGATAGATATGACTGAAATTGTACTGATAGAACTAGTATTGATATTGATATAACATAACATAGCATGCCCATTGATTGGTCGTCCTTTTATCGATTTTCTTATAGTTTGATAGATCTTTTTTTACTTTCTCGATCATATTGGTTTCATTATTGATTGATACGGATTTTATAGATTTATTATTGATTATATTGATAGACTATTGATAACTAATTGACATAGATTGTAATTAGAGTAGGCATATAAACTCTGTTGTCTTGCATTGAATGCGGTGATAAGTTTTAGTTATTCGTTGGGTTATATGCTTATTACGTGATTTTATATGATTTCAGGTAAAGGTAAATAACTTGCGGATTGAGGCTTAGCAGTAATGATAGTTTGATTTTATTTTAAGTTCTTTGATTTATTTGTATTATTTTGAAGCCAATAGTGAGTAGTGTATATATTATTTTGATACTTTTGACCTTATAGTAGAATGTAATATTAATTGAAGTAATGAAATTTTATGTTTCGATGTTTACATTTATTTATAATTTTCTGGATGCAATTATTAAGCCATGGTTGATAATGATCCGATTATAAATGAATATTGGTTGTTAATTGAATTGCAAGGAGAAAGATCAATGAATAAAAGAAAAAGAGAAGAAATTTTTCGACTTTAGATCCTAGGACAGGACATTAATTGTCCCAACATAAATTGGCAACTCGAGCTTGGTATAAACCTTAAACGATGATTGAATCTCTTAGAAAAATTTCAATATAAGTACTTCACATTCCATATATTTATCATCTTCAAAACCTCCTCCATCAGAATAGGCAACTTGTACCATGATCTTATGAATGTTTAAGGAGATTACCATGGTTTGTCATATTTCCTCCTTGTTATCCTTTCAGGATATCTAGCCTACTCTCAGGCTCCAGAATTTATTCTCATTATTGATGATATGGCTTGATTGGATATTAGATTGAGCCTATGACTTGTGTTCGAATTTTGTTATGCATTAGCGGAGGAGTTGGTTGACTGCCCCACCACCACCCCTCCCCCACACCCACACCCACACCCACCCCCACCACACGACAGATAGAACCTGTAGCTATGAAATCAACAAGAATATCAAAGTCTCAAGAAATCAAGTAATCAAGAGTTAGGTTAAACGATCTAAGAGTTCAAGATGTAGAAAAGCCAATAAGATTTCCTCTTGTTACTTCCACTCCATCGATGAATTTTCCACCCCAATAGTTGCAGTTTTAATATCCTAGTAGTGATTTCATTGTTTTATCAAATTTCAACCAAGCAAACCTCCCTAGAATGGAATATGGTTTCTTGATGGCTTCCTTAACCCTTTTTGGCTCTTGGTTCTAGAAGGAAAACTCAGTGGGATAGAAAAGATAGAGAGACGCCATGCTACTTCACTGTGTTGGCTAACAAGGAAATAGAGAGAAAGAAAAGGAGAAGGATTTAGTAAATCTTGAATTTAAAATTTTCAAGCATCTCAATTTCTTTCAGTACTATAAAAAGCTCCTATTGATAATAAAAAGTCCTAATTATTTACACAATTCAAAAAGAAGAAAACTCCTTAATGTTCTAAAAACAAAATGAGTTTTGGATGGATTCAAACTACCTATTCCTAAAAGTAAGCAATAAATAATTTAGAAGCCCTAAAATCAAGAAATGGATAAGAAAAATGACAAAAACAAATTCAAATGAAAAGCAATCACATATGGGTTCAAAGACCCTTAAAGCCACCTCTAAGCTCGGTCCGCCGACCCCCAAGGGAAAACCGAGGTTCTCCTAGGACTGTTGCCACCGGCCTAATGTCCGGCTAGTTATGGTGATCTACCAAGATCACCATATTGTAAGCATTGAAAGTTAATAGATAGATTAAGCACTTGGACCAAAGAATCATAGCTTCCTAGGTACTTCATATTAGAAATCAAACATTTGTTAAAGTTTCTGGGAGAAAATGGAACACTGCAAGAAAATGTGAAACTAGCAATGCTACTACACCAATTCAACAATTAATTTTACCTCAAGCGTATCTCCTCAGAGATGTTAACATTTAGATCATCTACAGTAGTAATTGGAAAAGGTAGTGTACAGTTGACAGTGTTCAATACAACAACATGCTCAGCAATAACCTGCAGAAAATAAATATTGACTTTGGCAAGATAAAAAAATATGATGAAACAACTAAAACAATCGGGCTGATTTTTCATTGTACAAAAAAAAATAAAAACGGAATCTATTCAAGTGACAAGGCCTAGTGTTCACAATGACAAGATGAACTGAGATATTGCATAAAAAAATAACCAAGAGTAACTTCTTTATTAATAAAATTAAAGAAAAATAAAGAGGATCCTCAACTCGGATGTTCAAATTGCTTTCCTCAGCCTGATATGGACTAAGATAAAGCTAGGTATTCAAGCATAAACTTGGACAAAAGAAAAAAAAAATAAAACAAAATATATGTCATACAATAATGTACATGCCAAAAAAGATTTACATGGATTTGTTATCGACTATTGTGTCGCAATGTAACGTGTAATATAGTGTTGTTATAGTTGTGTTGGCAAGTAAAGCAGGTGATTGTCTGGCAAAATCACATTAATTTGTTGTCAAAAGTGTTTTAATATTTGTGCTTGTTCAATAAAAAATTGTTGTGGTGCAACCATGAGTTCATTGAATTATTGAAATAGATATATTATGAACTTCATATAATTATAATATAATATCCTATCTTAATCTGTTATAATCAACTAAAATAAATAATTACTTAATAATACAGAAAAGCTAAAATTTGCAAAAGTGCTTTTCTGGAAAGCTAACTAAAAGTATCATTTTAAGAAAGTTTTTTTTATAGATTTAACTGAACTGGACTTGTTTACACAGCCGTTAGCCATAACAGCATAAAATTGCTTATGTTGCTTGTGTAAAAAGAGGCAGGAAACCAAAAATTTTACAAAATAGAGTTCAAATAATTCTTACTAACTTAGTTACGGCTAGAGACAATTCCTATGACCCACCCAATGTTGAGCTCTAAAATACGCATCCAATGGGGCGGGCACAAACTCACAAGACTTTCATGAGCAAGGCCACCAAGATCAAAAACAATACAGGGATGTGGATGAACTTGATTTTTTTGGAAAGCATAACATTGGAAATTCCGATTTCATGCCCGTGAAAACTTGAGTTTACCCACTTTGTGATGGTCAAATGACTCAAATGGGGAATCAGGATGTATGCAAGTAGGTCTCTGTATCAAGTTTGATGTGCAGCAGAAAATTTTGAACAACCAAATGTCATGCTTAGATTAGAAAAATGCCAACAAAATACCTGCAGTACGTTTCATAGAACAAAGCTCCCATAACATAATTTTTCGACTTATCTAAAGGTGGAAATCATGCTAATATAACCAAGAAATAAAAACACAGTGTCAGTTGTTCTTATTACCTCTACCGCCCCAGTTTTCATTTTTTGGTTAACCGACTCATTCGGCCGAGCTCGCACTGTGCCGTCTATGGCAATGACCCATTCAAGCCCCAACTTGTTCGCAGCTGCATGCGCCTCCGGAAACTCATCAGGCAGCGTGGCAACCTAAGATTGAACAAATAACAGATGAACAATCTAACATTAACTAAAGCAACATTTGAAGAATCAAATCTCACTTGAACAATTCCAGAGTCATCTCTGAGGTTCAGAAAGGTGAGGCCCCTATGAACCCTACGAAGCGCGACCCAGCCGCAAAGTCGGACACGCCTGCCAACATCTTCGACGCCAAGCTCGCTGCAAGAGACCGTAGGAGAGACCCATTGCATTGAATACTCTGCTAGGCTTTCGGAAGTCCGATCAGGGGATACGTTTTCAGCCACAGGAGTAGGAGAAAGAGAAGAACTCGGGGTGGAAGGAGATGAAGAAGTGGCAGTGCTAGAGGAGCAGGAGAAATGATCGATTGAAACTCTTCGGGTTAGAAACCTCACGGGCGGTTTGTGAATGAAGCGGGGAATTCGGGGGAAAAGAACGAAGCGGGCGATGCGCGGGATGCAGAGCAACAAAGACGCCATGATATGCTGCCGTGCTTGCCCGCGTATTTCGAGCTATCCCTTGCCGAAGGTTCTGAATCGCCGCTACCACAGAACCTAGAGTGTAACATACATGTGTAATATTTCTTTAGTATTGCTACCTTGCTGGTTTGTTGGTTCTTTTCTCTTGCTGCCTATCAATTCGCATACATTAATAATTAAATAGAAATAAAAAATAAAAGAGGATTTACATACATATCATTTTATTTCATAATATTTATGTATTTAATATCTGATATTTTAATATTATATTTTTATCAATCATATAAAATTATAATATCAAATATATAATTTATATATTTCATTTATATCATCAATACTATCCTATAAATTTTAATATTTCATTTCATGCAATCATATTTATTCTATAGGTGATAGTCATATAATATTAAAATTTTAAATATTAAAGATGTAAATAGCAAGATATAAAGTGATGAGTATGTAAATCCCCTATAATAAAATTATATTATAAGGGTTTCAACCATTAATATGCAAAAATAAACCACTATCTCGCAAACAGTTAAGAACTAAGATCATGTGTACATTAATTTTGTTCTAATTTTTCGTATGAAAATAGCGGTCATGAAATATATGATGCTAAGTGAAAATTTAAGTTTACTGGACATTTGAATGCCTAAATGATATCGAGTTTGGCAATCTTGGGCTCGTTGGATTTGTCTTATCGAGCGGCTTGATTCGACTATAAGCATGTCATGTGTGGAGATCGTTTGGCCATCTAATTTATGATTTTAACTTTCCAAATACGTTTTTGGTCTTAGATTTGAACTCATTTGGGCTCGGATTGAGTCAAATTTGGTGTCGTTAGGTTCGTATTTTTGAGACATTCATTTTGACTGTAAGTTTGCTGAAATCGGAGTTCGGATTATCTCAAATTTAATTTCAAAAATTTTCAACTTGTTTTTGTCTCGAGATTCATGACCGATTAGGATAATGTTTTGATGATATATCACTAATAGATATAGTCACTCAATATGAATATCATATGATTTTCAAAAAGCATGATAAAATAAAGAAAGTAAATGTGAAATGACCTAAATTAGTTTTTTTTTTATATTATTTGACATTAATGGTTTAGATCCACTTTCTAGACACTATTTTTTGAAATTTTGCTATGTCTCTTATTTGATAATACTGATTAAAATTTTTCTAGACACGCCTTTGTTCATCCCCTCCAATTTGAACTTTTATTTGGTCCGGTGAACGTACGCTCCTCTACATTCGGCCACCAACGTTTTAGCGCCACATAGCATGAAGAAAAGTCGCCGACCCGATCGTTGTTTTTTGGGTTCTCGCACATGCGTTTTTTTAATTCCTTGACGAGCCGAACAACATCTCATCACCTTTTGGATATATTTCAAATATCTAGCAAATACCGAGTTGTACCTAGTTTTTTCTAGCAATACCGAGCAAATCCCTAGCAATACCGAGCAAATCTTGAGCAAATACCGAGTTGTACCAAGTTGTACCGAGTTGTAGAAAAACTCAGTACAACTCGATATTTGTATAATTTTGGTCTTCACAGAGCGGTATTTCTCGTTTTTTCAAAGCAATACCGAGAAAATCGCGAACATAGCATTCCCGAGTTCCGCTCCTGGTCAAGTCGTCGGGCCGCGCGGTAAAGAGTAAGAGCACGTGGCGACATGTTCTTGGCGGCCGAACTTACCTCTACGTCAGGTCAGAGGACGTAATAATTGCTCCTCCAATTTATTATCACAGGAAGCAAGAACAAATTCCATAAGGTCCTTAACAGCAAAAGCATAAGATCCCTACAAGCCTCTTGAACATACACGCCAAATCCACAATATTCTTCGAAACAGGAACAACAACAAGAGAAACCACCAAAAGGGGTTGAACTGAATGCCCCACATCACCACCAATCAAAGGAAGACCCAATGGCTCATTAACCAAATGACCCACAACAACATGATCAACATTTATTCTCTGCACTTTATTAGGAGCTCTGTCAACACATTAACAACAGTGGGAGTATTATCAAGATAAGGATGTAAAATGCTACATTCTAGTTTCGAGTTCCCCAACAATTTGCAATGAGAACAATAAGTAGGAAAATCTTCCAAAACTACATACTAAATATAACTCAAGTTTTTGAGACCAACCCATACCTTATCAGAAAATTTTTTGATGACATCTAACTTAACCAGAACACTTGCAATAGAAAGTCGAGAGCTAGTAGAAGTGGCATTACTAATTTTTTAGAGGCTGACTAAACAAAGACCCAAGATCATGAAGGATTCGGAAAGAAAATAGATAATGCTTGACTTTGGGAAACGAAACTCAAATCGGAATAATGGGGGACTCAACTTCAATATCAAAAGTTGGAGTCCATTTGATCAATTTCATAAAACAATTGTTCACAAAGTACAAACAATAAGCAAATACTCTATCGAGATACTTAACAAGCTTAATCAATGCATGCTTCTAGTTGAGAACAATAACCAAGAAATCACAATTAAGCTTGATGTTGAAGAATAATTTTCTGATTGCATCAAGAGAGGATCTCCAACCTAGAAATCAACACATGCTTTGTAGATTAAAGGCATTGTGTTTTTTCTATATCCCTAAATAGAGATGTGCTTATTTAAAATATTCTTACTTATTTTAAGGATGGAAATACATAATTATCCAATAAAAGTATTTTTAGATTTGCCATTTAAATATTCAAAGTTATCCTCATCTGAATTTAGGGGGGTTTCGTATAAATACTACTGCTGGGTTCATTCTCAACAATTTCATATTTTAAAATAAACTAATTTAAGAAAGAACTCGTGAGATTCCTCTAAAATTTAATACATGTACAATCAAAGAATAATGAATGATACCTAACTTTTTCAAATGAATATAAATGATCTAGGAGCATAAGTGGGCCAAATTGGCCCATTGGCTCATGAGCAAGCTCAAATCCTACTCTCTAACACACTCAAGACTTGAGCTTATCAAATCACAAGCTTGAGATTGAGCTCAAACTCAAGCATGTATATTAAATGAGCTCAAACTTGCTCTTCATGAGGCCACACTCATTAATTTCTGAGTTGATTCAATTAGATACTCCAAATGACTAAGGCTTCGTTTGGGACGACTTTTTTATTGCTTCTTAAAACAGTTTTCTAATAAAAAATTAAAGCTAGAAAGCTGCTTTAAGAAGTAGAAAGAAAGCCGTCCCAAAGTCTCATGAGCTCCTCTTATTTTTTAAAAATAATTGGTCCTATCAATGCGAAATTATTATGAGGCCGGATGCAGCTCAACATTCGGAGACGAATCAGGTGCAAACACGTCAACGATATCGAACCGCGGTAACGAGCGATACCAAGCAGTATTGAACCACGATACAGAGCGAAGTGATGACATGACGCATTTTAGTTGGTCTCAGACGGCGTTCGGCATCCGCATAGAATAATTTTTCCTTCTCCAGCATTGGTCCTATCAAATTCATTTTCCAACAAGCTAGCTATGTGATCAACACAAAAGTTAATGTTCACAAGAAATAAAATGATGCAAAGTTATATCATGATATAAAAGAGCACTATATAATCTAAAATACAGTCCAAATCACAACCCTCTCATAAGTATATGAACATTCAATATTAGAATCAACATGTAAGCATGTAAAGCAAGACATAATGATTACTCAAAGTGTGATTTTAATGGTAATCACTTCAGGCAAAAGAGTGTGACAATGGAAAACTCAATGTGAAGACAACTTTACAACCTTCGCTTGCAAGCCGATGTGAAAAATTTCACTTCTCCCACAAGTCCAAGAAGATACTAATACACTTCATAGAGGACGACTGCCACCACGCACCTTGATTCGACAACACAAGAAATACTTTACAAAGCCTTAATAAAATTTGGTGGTGAACTAAGCTATCATCAACAAATACAAATTACACAATCACTGCAAGTGTGGTTAAAATATACTACAAAGTAAAATACAAAATAAATTGCAATCAAGAGAGAGAAAACTGGTGTTTGTTACACCCAAGGGTTTGCTCCAGGATAAACCCCAACGAAAGATCATGCAGCATTCAAATAGTTCTCAAGCTTGACGGAGAGTGTCATCTTCCTCAACAACTGCAAGCACGGGCTTCATTTGGTTCTTCTATGATAAGATCGAAGAACTACTCCAATTCTCCTAATTATTCTCCTTGGAATCAACATTTGCACACTAATGCTTCGTTTGGGGCGGCTTTCTTACTGCTGCTTAAAAAAAATTCAATACAAAAGTTAAAATTTTTGTACTCGAAAGCTGCTTTAAGAAACACTTAGTCTTCATAATTTCTCGCTTGAGCTTCACTTTTAAGTTGCAAAAGCTCTAAACAATCTTAATACATAACTTCATCACCACCATAGTTAAACTAATAACACTTGAAAATCATTAGATGACACCACCAAATTCGTTATCATTAATCAATGATGAATCAATCATATAGAGCAAATGATATATGTTAAAACTTATATAATATCAACAAATAAAATAATTTCTTTCAGAATCTTAAATGAATATAGCTAAAAGTTAAGAGTACAAACCTCCACGATATCAACATTAACAGAAAGGAAGCAACTACATTCATAGTGTATGAGAGCCAGCATAGATGTGAGATGTGCTGAGATGACCTGAGGAATTATGTATCCACACAAAGAAAAAATAATCCAATTATAAAGAAACAAGTTATCATTTTAAATCATGTTTTACCAAAAAAGATTTCGCATCTAAATACTACTAAACACATACGACTGTGAACATGAGGAAATCAATTGAAGAAATTTAAAACAAATAGAGATTAGTGTTGTGTACATCACCATTATCAGCCTACTACAGACTATTACAGTTTGCTCCATCAGTCATTCTCCGCTTATGTTTAGAGGCATAGAGCTGCACTATGGTAGTATGAATGCTGAGAGAAAATAGTCGTTGGCTGCAACTGTTCAGAGGTCACTGCATATACATCTACAAAAATAAGAGCTCAATACAATCAATTAATGACCAAAAAACATTTTAGCTCAAAAAAACATTTTAGAAGCCATGAAAATCAAAATCCTTAATAAACATTTGGAGGAACACATAGAACTAGTAATAGACATCCTAGATTGAGCAGCTAAAAAACAATAAATGATTAAAGACGAAATAATTTCCATTAAGCTCTAAAAAGTTGTTTTAAAAGAGCATAACAGAACATTAACAGCTTAGCTGCAAAATAAATGGAAGACATCACTGGAGCTAAGAGCACACAAAAGCAAAGATAAAGACAGCTAATGGCAAGATGTAGAAGAAAAGCTTGTAACTAACGACCCAACCTTGTGAGCCAGTAGCTTTCCTTTTACTTCTACCTCATAAGCCTATCCTCAATAATTCTTGGTCTGTGAGAAGAGCAGAAGTTTGTTTTCAATGTAGCAAAAACATCAAATTATATCTTGGTTCAAAAACTCAAAACGAAAGAAAGGATAGTCGATTTGTAGAGAGTAACATAAGCAAGAACATCACTTGCAATTCTGCCGAAATAAACCAACTAGATTTTCACCATAGATGACTATTGTACCAAAAACAAGTAAAAATGGAGCAGCATTATAAATTTGATTTCATTAGTAAGGTAACCTGGCATAAAAGCCAACAGGAACACGGAATGAAGATTCAAAAAATAAATGTTTGTTCCAATGTTTTAAAGAGGTGAATTCCAACTGTCTTTAGTGTACATAATACACAAAATTCCTTCTACAAATGCCTCGGAAGGGTAAAAAGCACTTCTTAACACTCACTCACACTAGTTCTCCATGCCTATACCCACCATCCCCAGAATCTGTTACAGTATCCAAACCAACAGGAGAATCATACCACTTTGTGTTTTCCGGGTAGAACCCATCAACGTGCATTGCCACAAGATTAGAATCCGTCACAATGTTTTCTTCATGCCTCAAAGGCTTTATCAACTTTGAATCCTCATCCTCACCACAATTAAGTATGCTTTTTTCATCAAAGTCACTACAATCTTCCTTCAGTAACCATTTGACTGACTTGCAGCTATCCCCCAAGAGCATCTTCTGCTCCTGGCACTCTACCGTCATGGAACCCCACGGCATAATAGGCCCAAGGGTTGAATGAAAATCAGTTTCATCATCATCAACAATTTCCGCATCCTTATTGCCAAATATCCTGCCATGCTCATCAAAATCATGATTTTGCTCACTTCCCCACTGCCCGATACTATCATCACCCATAACTAAGGATTCTTCAGAAAGTTGTTGACCAGTAAAACTCCTGAGCCTGTTCAGAGTATCTGTCAACTCACGTGAAAGAGATCTGAGTAACTCTGGTGGCATCTTAGCCATCTTTCCCTCTAACAAGCCAGCCTCCAACTTCAACTCCTGGATCTTCTGAAGAACGCTGTGATGACTACCGCAACCATCTTTCTTAACCATGAGGTCAACAAAAGATTCAGGTTCTGTGTCCTCTCGGACCCCATAGACCACAGGGTCAAATTCTAAACCTCCCTTGTGGCCTACCACTCTGTGAATAATCCTTGCATTTCCATCTAGGGGGCCTGGCTCATGCCCAGAATGCACAGCATAGAGCTTGAACACAGCTGTGCCCTCCTCAAGGTACACAAAAGTCTTGTCTTTCTCATTATAATTGGTAATGGGCACAATGGCACGGATACGAAACCCGCAGCCACATCGTTTTGACTGGTAAGGCTCCCTCTTCAGAACCCGTTGCTTCTTTGTAGAGGTTGAGGCTGAAACGGACGAAGGCTCTCCAGCACGGTGGCATGTATAATCCTTCACCTCTGCCATAAAGGGCTTGTATCTTATATATTTCTGCCGGATGCAAAGAACTACTTTATGCTTGGCGGCCAGCTGCTGAAGCCTGCAAGGTACATCCTTGGCGGGGACATCAAATGACTCAGTGTATTCAAATCTGCGCCGCTTGGATCGGGATGAAGCACCTCCACCGCATGAGGATGCACCAGCAATGGAGGTGGAAGAGGAGCAAATGGGGCATGAGGATATGCAATCACGGATGAAGGATTCGGGGATGCCATAGAATTTAGCTCCAACTGTCCATGACTGCTTGATTCTGTCCACGGTCTCCTTTAGACCAAGGTGTCGGAGAAGGTCGGGGTCCGCATGGAAGGAGGCCACAATGTCTTGCCATTGCTCGAAATGGGAGACGCATTGGGCCGGGTTGTTCTTGAAGTAAAGGGAGGGGTTACCCTTATCGTCGACATGTGCGTGGAGCTTGTCTTGAATCCGCTTCCACGCCGTAAGGTACGCGGTATCCTCGTTCCGGTCCTTCCAAACCAAACGCCAGGACTTCAGCACCGACCGAGGCGTTGCCTGCCGGATCTCGCTCGGAGCAGCGAGTCGCCCCTCAAGGATGCAACGAATCATCAGAGCGTGGGAATCCCGGTTGAAGGTGTAGAACTGGGAGGAGATGTGTGGCGATGGGTCGACGTGCTGCAGTGCCGCCGCCAATATGACAGCGTCGGAGGAGTGTTTGGAGTCGGTCTTGAGCTCAAAGTCAGAATCATGGACCACATCGTCGCCGCCATCGGCCGGGGCAGGGAGCTCGTCATCTTCTTCCTCCTCATCGTCGATGTCCGGGTCGCGGAGAAGGAGGGAGGAGAAGGGCGATTCGGGATGGGTGTCGTCTAGGGTTTGCGAGGGATTAGAGTTGTTAGGGTTGCAGGATGGATCTTCGTGGTCCGGGTCATCGTCGTCGTCCAGGAGGAGAGATTGGGAGTGGAGATGGTAAGATTGGAAGATATAGTCGGCATCATCGTCGTTGGAGACGACCACTCCATCGGTTGCGTCGTGATGTGCAAGACCTAACGCTGGGGTTAGGGTTAGGTTTTGGGGATGAGTTTTGATGGGGTTCATAGGTGTTATGGTGGGCGATGGAGATATGATTTCGGCATCTACCCACTCTATCTCTCCTCGCGATCTCGATCGCCCGCGCTTTCCCTCTCTTCTTCCTCTCTACCTTTTTCGATTTCTTGGTGCAATTCTGCGTGAGGTTTCCCAAAGCAAATTGACTGGGTTCTGCTCTACCATATTAAGTTAGAACCCCCATACGAGACCTCAAATTGATCGTGAAGGGCCGCTGACTGGTTGAGTTTCATCTTTAGGTCCTATTCCCTAGTGGACGCCGCTTAAATTCAATGACAATTGAGGCCCTTCCTTTGCGGAAGACCTTAACTTGATGTATATCTTATAGAATACATTACATGAAGAGAATACAAAGAATCATTGTTGATGTGTTTGTTTGGTCTGAAGGACTGTAGTCGGTGGGCGACGTAAGTAGGAAGGACCGTAGTCGGATGGCGACGGAGGTCGGAAGGACTGTAATCGGTGTACGACGTAAGTCAGAAGGACCGTAGTCGGCGCGCGACGAAGTTCAGAAGGACTGCAGTCGGTGAGCGACGTAAGTCAGAAGGATCGTAGTCGGTGGGCGACGGAGGTCAGAAGGATTGTAGTCGGTGGGAAACGTAAGTCAGAAGGATCGTAGTCGGCGGGCGATGGAGGTCAAAAGGACTATAGCTGGTGAGCGACGTAAGTCAGAAGGATCATAATCAGCGGAAGATAGATGTCAGAAAGACTATAGTCGGTGGGTGGCGTAAGTCAGAAGGACCGTAGTCAGCGGGCAAGGTTAGAAAGCCTATAATCGGTGTGTGATGTAAGTCAGAAGGACCGTAATCGACGGACGACGTAGGTCAAAAGGACTGTAGTAGGTGGGCGAAGCAAGTCAGAATGACCGTAGTCGACAGGCGACGGAGGTCAGAAGGATGGCGTCAAGTAGAAATCCAGCATCGGATAGATGTCCGGTGAAAGTCCGACAACATGTAGAAATACGGAGTCAGGTAGAAACTTGGCGATGAGCGGAGGTCCGGCGACGGTTAGAAGTCTGACATCAGTTGGCTACAGAGGAGAACTCCAGCGTTATATGATATTCGGGCAGAACTCCGACGTCACTTGGAGTTCGGGTGAAACCCAGTCGTCACGTGGAGGTCGGGCGAAACTCTGGAGTCATTTGGAAGTCGGGCGGAATTCCGGCGCCACTTAGAGATCGGGCGAAATTCTGGCGTCACTCGAGCATAATTCTGGCAGCGATGGTCGAGGAGGAGTTTCTTCCCTTATGTCCTCCTTCTCTTCTCTTTTCATTCTTCTCTTGTCTTGCTTGAGTCCCCTCTCAAGAGAAATGAGGGGTTTTTTATAATTTTTTTTAGCATGGCATGACCCGTAAATGGGAGAAGGATCAAGGGAAAATGTTGAGTGGTTCGGATGAACGACCGATATTGAATCCCTTGATCGTGGACCGTTCGTTAAACATTTGAATGTCTTAATAATATTGGAATTCAACGATCTTGGGCTCGTTGGATTCGTCTCGTCGAGCCGCTCGATTTGACTGTAAGCATGTTATGTTTGGAAATCGTTTGGTAATCTGATTTATGGATTGAAGCTTCCAAATGTGCTTCGGGTCTTCAATTTGGATCCATTTGGGCTCGGAACGAGTTGAATTTGGTGTCGTTGGGTTAATATTTCCAATACGATCAGTTCAACTGTAAGTTTTCTGAAATCCGAGATCAAGTGATCCTGGATTTAATTTTTGAAGTTTCCAACTTGATTTTTGCCTCGATATTCTTGCCCGATCAAGATAATTTTTTGATGACATTTCAAGTATTATATTTGAAGTACATAAATATCAATATATAAAATGCAAAAATTAGGGGCAATCATGCCCAATTTTCATTATGATAATAGAAATTACAAAATATAAGAATTATAAGAAAAACTTATAATTCTTAAAAAAAATAAAAGAAATCCTAAAAGAACTTGACTTAAACAGAAATCAAGAAAAGAAAAGAAAAAATATACAAACAAATAGGAAATCAATCATGTAACCCGAACCCAAAGAACTAGTACAACCAAAAGCAAATCATGAAGAATCTGGACCTGTAAAAAATAACTCAAGCCAGCGAAATAGCAAAATCTAAGACAACAACAACGAGCAAAATTGTGCTCAACCGAGAACCATGATCCGAACCAGCAATTAATAAACCTGATCAGGCATAAAACAGCAGCCACCCAAGCCACCATAAAGGCAAATTATTAGGTCTGGTCACCGGACCTAAAAATAGGTCCGGACATCCAATAAAAACTTGTCACGTCGCCTACGCTTTTTGACTGTGCTTTGACTGTGTTTTTTTACTGTGCTTTACCTGTACTTTATATGCGCTTTACCTGCGCTTTTGATACACTTTATTTAAAATAATATTTTATTAATATTCGAACCAATCTCTAGATCTGATAACCGGACTTAATAATTTGCCCACAGAAGAACTCGCTAGACACAACCTCTGACCAAACTAGCAATTAATCACCTAAGATCAGTCAAAATCAACAGCCTCCCAAGCCATCAAAATATGCCAGGCACAAAATAAGATCAATATAGCCCATCCAATCAAAGCTAGATCCCAAAAACTCAATTTGAAACCACTGCCAAGAGCTAGACAATAAACCGAATGACCTAGACCTCTAAATGCATCCAACAAATCTAATCAAAACCTGTAGAAGAAATAACCTATTTTGTAGCATAATAGTAAAACAAAACTAAAACGTACAAAAACCAAACACAAAAAAAAAAAAAAAAAAAAAAAAAAAAAAAAAAAAAAAAAAAAAAAAAACAGAACAAAATTTAATAAAAAAAAAATCAACGAACAACCAGACTCAGGAAAGTTTAATCAAAACATCACATAAACTCAGAACAAAATAAAAGAATAAATTAGCTTCAGCCTAAGCAAACCAATTTAGTACAAGCTGAAAGCTTCAAAAACTTTGGTTATTATAATTGACCATCCAGATTAACAAGAATCTAATCGATTGTAAAAAAGCAAAGCTAACCGGAAAGAGAAGGATCAAAGGTAGTGACAAAAAAGATCCAATTGGGAGGTTTGAAGGAAAATGGAGAGAAGCTCTATTCGGAAAGTCATAATAAGACTTTTAATATGACTTTTAAGGGGTTTACATTGCCTCTTACTATTCCTCTCAAGCATCGAGGGCGGAACAAGTCCTAATTTTCAGGTGGGCAAACTTATAAGGCATATATGTTAGGGGTCCAAGGGGGCAGCGCCCCCTGGCGAGATTCGACCTGTCCGGTCAGGTCGTGTGGTCAAGGGGCAGCGCCCCTAGAACAAATTTTGGTTTGAATGATATTTTTGGAATTCAATGATGATGAACCTAATTAGCAGATGACGCAGGGTGAGCTCCTTAGGGTTGATTATTATGTAATAATTTTATAAGAATTTAGATGTTAATGAAATAGCCCTTAATTTGTAATTGTTAAGAACCAACGGTTTAAGTCATTCTTGCCACATCAGCTTGTACTTTCTTGTTGCCACGTCAGGCTGTACCTTCTTGCTTAGTATATTACATTGGGTCTATATATAGTTCTAACCTGTAATAATATGGGATATCAATAAAATCAACTACTTTCTTCTTTTCCTGTTCATCTTCTTCATTCTCTGTTTTTCACCTGGGCATTCTTCTCAGCCGCTCAAGAACTTTCACATGGTATCAGAGCTGCTAAGCTCCACCGCCTTGATTCTCGTTCGTCTTCCCCTCGCCTTCCAAATTTGCAGCCGCTAACTCGATGGCGGACGAAGATACAGCCGGATCACGCCGGTCTGGAGCGGAAGGCCGAACTATGTCTACTACCTCCAATCAAGATTCCGATCTCCTCATTCCCCCTCAGCTAAAATTTCTGATCTCAAATGTCAAGAACATGGTTCCAAATCCTCTTACATCCGAAAACTACTCCATATGGCGTCTTCAATTATCTCAACACTTCGCTGCAAACGGATATGAAGAGCATCTCACCGGTCAAGCCGTTAGACCTCCGGACTCGACTCCTCAAGAACAAAATCGATGGAAGCTAGTCGATCGAAATCTTGTCTCAGCTCTCCTTGCAACTATCTCTCCTCCAATTCTACCGTATGTGATCAATCTTGGCTCCGCACATGAAGTCTGGACTGCTCTAGAACGACGTCTTCAACCCACCAACAGATCGCGCGTCATTCAGCTCAAAAATGAGCTGCATCAAATTCAGATGCGCGACCGCACAATGCAACAATATCTTGATCAAATCAAGACAATCGTTGACAACATCACGGCCGCCGGTTCCACCGTTGATACAGAAGATATCGTACTCTACATCCTCAATGGGTTGCCCGCCGTCTATAACTCATTCAAGACTACAATTAGAACCTCTATGCAACCCATTCATCTGGATGATCTCTATTCACTCCTCAGCAGTGAAGAAATCATTCTTCAACAACAGGGGCTCAAAGATCAAATGCAACAATCCGAGTCTACAGCCCTATTCTCCAATCGCAATTACAAAGGGAGAAAGCCGAGAGGCAGGGGTTCTTTTTCAAGACAACAGACGAATGAAAGACAGACGCAGCCCATAGAAGCATCATCGTCCGCGCGTCCTCCCTCCCAGCGCCCGACATGTCAGATTTGCGGCAAGATTGGTCATGCAGCTCTCAACTGCTGGCATAGATGTAACCTCAATTACGCACCGCCGACAAATACCAGAGCGCTCACAGCACAACAACAACAAGCCAATACGCACGACTGGATTTTAGACTCCGGTGCCTCATCTCACCTCACTGCGGACGCTACACATATTCAACATGCGGTTCCATATGCAGGTTATGATACTTGAATTTGATTAATGGCTACACCCTTATTATTATGCACAGCATAATAATTTATTATACTGCATTTAATTACTTTTAAATATTATAAAAATATATTTAATAAAAGAATTATTTAGAAATTTAGATCGGTATTTGTGGTGTGCTGAGCTATTTAAGCTAATTGTGGTTTTGCTTTTGGTTTTCAATATATGGGAAAGGGAATGAACCGATTGATTAACAATTTCAGAATTGGATCTAAGTATATATGTAATTCTTTGTTTTGATTTTTGTACAATCATTGTTAGCTTTTACTTTATTATGTACTATGTTATATAGCAATGTAATGTAGTCTAGGTCTTGTATATGCCATTTTGATAAAATGAAAAGAGATTTTGTGGATGATTTTATTTTCAGTATTATGGATATTTTTAGTCGCTCTGTAATACATCATTGATTTGAAGTTTAACTTGGAATATGTAATCTAAAGCATTTCCAAAACTAGAGTTTTGGATTTGCCTGTCACAGCTTAACACAATCGAAATCATATTGACTTGAATTGTGACACTTCTTCAATTATTTTAAATTGTAGACTCTAATAATAAAAGCATCATACCTTAAACCCCAATCAAACTTACATTATATATATATATGCATTTTTGAAAGCTTGAAAATAATCTTTTAATCTTTATTAAAATTTTTGTAAGAAATATAAATTACTTTGGAAGGCTTGTTATCATGAGTTTAATATTTCACCGATTATTCAAAATTATTAGCTTTAAATTATTATCATGAAATTTACATTAAAAAAATATAAAATGAAGTCTTTCTCTCCATGCCATACTATTAGAAAAAATAATCAACAATTTAAGGTGGCAAAAGAAAGTTGCCATGCATTGAAAATTCACTCCAACCAAATTTCAAAGCTATAAAAAACCAAGACAAATTAAAAGAATGTATTTTTAATGTATGTTTAATTATTTTGGTTGGTCCCCCTCTTGATGTAGTGGATCGTCGGAAGAATCGACCTGCAAGAAGGATTTGATCCCAATCCAGGGAACAAGAGGAACACAAGCTTCAAAGCTTCATAAAAGAGATAATATTCATCATCCCCTCATTCTTCTTTTACAATCTATATATAATAAGCAAGCAACAACCTAGAGACACCTAGAAGATTCTAGAAAATGGGCAACAACTTGTAACAAACTAGATAAGATATTACTAAGATAGACTTTAATTATGATGTTCCACTTCACCTCTCTTGGACTTGCTTGTAATACATATAAATATCCTATACACTATTTTGAAAAGAACAGAAACAAAAATCAATTATTTTGTATGGCTTTGTTTTATGGTTTCACTTTGGTGGCTTACTTCTTTACAGAGCTTGATAGCATTTTCATTAAATTATTATTGGAGTTGTATTTAAGCTCTGACACTTCAATGGTGTTATCACTTTTGATTTTCAACCATCTATATCATTGCTAGCCATCATTTGCCACTATTTTTTCTACCCGTTGCTTCAAGATTGCAACTTGAGACTCCAAAGAAAATGTTATGTATACAAAGGGTTTCAACATCAACTCGATTCATGTATTAAATTGGTCAAAAAGATCAACCATATATTTACTTGATCAAATACGGAATTAACCCGAAACAATATATGTTTGTACTTCTTTTATTTTCTTTTTAAACATTATGCATATGACTCCTAAAATAATATCTCAAGATCTAAAATTAACAAAATGTTTCTATGAATTCTTCAAAGAAAAAAAAATTTATGAATTCCTCACTTCTATCACTTATAAGCTCAGCACGAAGCTAAGTAATAATTCTTGGCCTAATTCTCAATATCATGAGGCATATCCTCTTCGTTACTTATTACAAGTCACCAACATTTTTTTTTTGACATTTAGATCATTTAAGACAAACTCACACACACACAACGCATACATATAGACTCGAACACTAGATCTCTTAGTTGAAAGTCGAAGCTCTCAACCAATAGGCCTAGAAGAGCTGTTTTAATAACAGTAAAATTGGCCATTAGACCTCCACAAAACTTAACATCACATATATATATTTTCTCTGCAACTTTCACACTCTTCTCTCAAGTATGTGTTTCAATCCTTACTGAACATTATAAATGTCAGCTTGTTGTTCATTATTATGAAATAATTTTATAATAATTTAAATGTTAATGAAATATCTCTTAATTTATAATAATATTGGCTGCACCATAATACCATACATATATAATTCTTTTTTTTTTTCCTCCATCTCACATGTTTTTTACTTGATATTTTCTTAGAACTACATATAGATTGGATTTACTGCAGCTTATTTATTAAGTACTGGTGATTGTGTGCACCATTTTTTTTTCAACAATATGAGTAAGGCTCTTTAGAAGCATTTCAAGATGTAAAATTAACAAATGTTTTTGTGAAATAAAATTAACAGAGATTGTTAAGGATACACGGCGCAGTTATGGTAACTGATTCAGGCTTTGTTTGTTTGAGCGTTTTTTTTTGCCTTTTCCGTTTTGGAAACGAAGGAATTTTATTTTTTTTTTGTATTGTTTGGTTCGTCAATCACGTTCCCAATAACTCATTTTTTTCATTTTTCTATAGTTTTGAGAAAGCTTTTTATATATGCTTCTCCGTTACAAAACTCCATTTTCTAAACTAATATTTTTTAAAACTGTCTTTTACAAAAGCACTAAAAAAACAAACAAGCCTCACCTTAATAACTATTTAAAGTCAAACCAACAAACAATGTTTCTAAGATAAACTATCTGTGCAGACAACTTCGATTTCTTGTTTGAAAGCTTAAATTATCTATGAAAAGATTTTGAATTTGAAGCTTACAAATATTGATATGTATGTGAGTTAAAAATAATTTTTTTTTTTTAAAAAAAAGATATGCATTTGAGTCCAAATAATTAAGAATAAAGTGCAAATTCTCTCCGCTTCTGCAAGTTCTGATTAAGAATAGTGAAAACATCACCATCGATACCTCAGATTAAATAAATAAAATTTTGATTTGAGTGGGACAAATGAAGGAAAAATTCTTATCAGGGCGGCGTACCTAGCGGTACCGAATGTAACGAGCGCAGTACCAAGCACGATACCGAGCGACGAATGATGTGACGCTTTTTTATTAGTCTCTGGTCACGTTCGGTATCCGGACACAATAATAGACATTTGCTACCACCCTTAGCACAAATAAAGTAGTAAATGCCAGTATGAGCATTCTCAAAAAAGGAAAACCTCCATTGAATTGTTAACCTTAGTTGAGCTTTTTAACACATTTTGTTGCAATGTAAAGCTCTCACAAAACAAGTGGATCTCGTGGACAAATTTGGCTGTATATGCTTCATAATACAAATTATAAATTAAATATTCTCCTCATATATTTAATTTGAGAAATATGCACAAAGTTCATTTGAGAAATATGCAGGAGGAATTATCCCTTGTACTGAAGAATAGCTCATTGCATTCGTAAATAATTCTAGACTGGTAAAATCGGTTCAAATTCAATCTAGTTCAAATAGCTATTTCTCACTTGCTGAAGAAAATTATTTGCTGAGATTGGAGGCATGCAGAGGTGAAGAATCGTTCATGGCAGGAGATTTTTGGAGGCAAGCACAACGCCCAAGAGCTTGTGGGGGAAACCATCAATGGCGTAAGGAGACGAGGAATTAGTGATGAGAGCTCATTGAGAGAAGGCGTTGATGGTAAGGTGGCAAGCGAAGAAGAAGAGTATGTGAATCGAATAAAGATTCGAACCAAGTCAAATCAATTCAAATTCAAACAGATTTTAACTAGTTTCAAATGATTGACTAGTCCAATGAACAGTTTTGCTAATAGAATAGAATATCCCTCATTTAAGTTAATTTTGTCTATAATAGAATTTCAATCATATATCCTCAAATTAATATACAAACATATTTATCCAAATAGATCCATTACAAGGAGAGATTATTATGTGCGGACGCCGAACGCAGCTCTACATCCGGATACCAATCAGAATGAGCCATGTCAGCGATACCAAGTCTCGGTACCACGGTACCGAGGAATACCGAGCCACGGGCTCAGGTATTCCGACAGGTTCTACTTCCGCACAAAACAATTTTTCCATTACAAGACAGTAAAATTTCCGTTTGCATTTGGGTAAAAAAAGCCAAATATGCATTTCCCTGCATTTATCTTGAAAAAACTACTCTTAAAATGGAGATTTGAAACTGCTTCACAAATCAACTTTCGATAGCCAAGAAACAAAGCCAAACAAGTTAGTGGTCAGTACAAGATACGTTATAATAGTAACAAGATACGAAAGCAAATTCTCACTAGTGGAACAACACTGTTCGAAAATAAAGGAAAAACTCTAGCAAGTAAACAATTTTCTTATCCTGAGATTATCTCCAATGAATAAATATGGTTATTAGAATCCACAAACGCTAAAAATGGTAGATCCATAATGTACTAATAGTAGAACTAGAAACAACTACAACAAACATATCAATAAACACATCCAAGCATGTTAAGAGGTATATGTTACTGGATCAGAACAGCGATGGAGGAATAAAGAAAGAAAATTTTGCTCAATTTATGACTACGGTGATTATCAGGACAAACAAAGCCACTACATTAATACATCATAGTGAACAAAAGCATTAGTCCTAGAAAACCAGGAAGGAAATGCCTAAATACTTCACACCCAACAGAAACGGAGCTCTCACATACCATAAAGGGCACCTACCCACAAGAGGAATTGATACTTCAGAGTATGGTACAACGGCCTCTCTCTTCTGTTTGAGGTGCTCCTCCTTGTTGGAACCTGTTTGGGTCGGAGGGGTTGTAGGTGAACTCAGATGTATCAAGACCATACTGTACGACAAAATCAGTGTCAAAACTAGCCAGCACATACAAATACTAAGGCTTCGTTTGGGACGGCTTTCTTTCTGCTTCTTAAAGCTGTTTTCTAGTACAAAAATTTTAATTTTTGTATTAAAAAGTCACTTTAAGAAGCAGGAAAAAAACCGTCCCAAACGAAGCCTAAGAGTTAAGGACTTTCCATACTTAAAAAATGGTACCTTTTCCCGCATCCGTTGGCTCCAGGCATCATTCCTACTCGGGCGCTGATCAAGAGTTGCAGTCAAAGGAACGCCGGTTGCAGGTACACCCTGCCTATTGATCAATGGCTGGCGTATGGACCTCGTCGCGATGTACTCGTCATCACTGTCATAATCGGCAGGTAGGTTTGCTGCTCTGACTAAAATAGCAAGCAGGAACACGAGTGCCTGCAAATAAAATACAATATGACTTTCACACTTAAACAGCTTGATATGGCCACCAAACTTGAGCAGATCCGCTAAGAACAAGGTTCGAGCAATGAACAAGCTAAACAGATATCACGGCCTAATATAATAGAGATCAGGAAACCACATACATGATCTAGCAGAATAGAGCCTAAACATAAGCTTCACTGCTGATAAGAGGTATATGCGCATGAGGCATAATATCCTAAGGGGCTGTTTGGTAGCAGGATTTAGGCCAGATTTGAGGCGGATTTGAGCAAAATCCAGCCAAACGGCCTAAAATGCAAAATCAAATCTCACGGCAAACGAAGTCCGCTGTAGACGAAAAATTCCACCGATTCGCTCTAAATCCCGGATTTCTAAAATCATGTATTTTGCCGGATTTACGACATCCATGATGCTAGAGGAAGAGTCTGCTCGGTAAATCCTAGTCTATAGCCAAATAGTTACATGAGATTTAATTAGGATTTATCATAAATGTTACAAAATAGTTTTCGGAATTTAAGCCCCTCAAGGTTTCCAAAATCTGGATCTAGAGGATTTACGAAATCCTGCTTAAATCAAATCCGGGGTGCTACCAAATAGTCCCTAAGTCCTAACTGAAACCACACCTACTGGATAAGTGTAAAATAGCATAGGAATGCTTATTCATGATATGCTGAATTGAATAAACAATGCCGAATTATATCATAACACAACAAATTGAAGCCAACATTATAAATAAAAAGCAGCTATGAATTCGAAAAATTGAAAAGGGGTTTTACCTCTAAAATAACAGCTCCAAGAGCAATCCACTTCACAATCTTCCAATTCTCCTTTATGAATTTATAAATCATGTCGAAGCTTCTTGTTTTGTCATGTGGAATCAACTGCGTAGAAATATGCTATCAGGAAAATTACAGAGAGGTTGAATACGAGATATGAAAAATGTACATGAGAGAAAACTCACATCTGTCCAGTCATGATCAAAAAATATGAAAGCAGCGGCTCCCAGTTCCAGCAGTATTAACAAGATTACCAAGAAAGCATACTTTGGTTGGTTCAAGGAAACTAAATGATTGACTAAAAAACCAAAAAGAAATTTTTTTTTTCTTTTCCAAACCAACAACACCGCATTTTCCCATGGGAAAAAAGTATATGTTAACTTTTATAAAATTAAACCAAAACCGCTTCATTAACTAAACATATTTTTTTCCCATGGGAAGTATTTATTAATCATCCAGTCAACATAAAAGAACATAAAGCTCCTGAAGGAAGAATAAGCTTTGATTAGGAAAGCATAGAAAATAAGCATGTACAATAAAGCATAATAAATTTGAGTTTAGGATACGAAGGACAAGCAGCATCCATTTCTAGTCACTGCTCCAATACAGCCAAAGAAAGATATCAGAAAGAGAATAGCTCCAATCCCAATGAAAACATAAATAAACCTGCAGAAGCAGTATTAGAGCAAGAAGAATTATTGATTTAGGTCAGAAAAACCAATTGAAAAAACAGAATTTACGCTTAGTTAATGGCAAAACGTAGCCACTAAAAGAAATTCTATAGATCTAGTGTCTAGACAACAGAAATAACTAAGAAAAAAAGTTGCTTATTAGTAAACTTTTCAACAAGTTTATTAGTATTCTAATGAATTAAACTCCACAGCAACTCAAGGACTCCACAGCAACTCAGTTTGCTTGTTGTTAACGATCGCATATAGCAATGAAAGACTATAAGTAAAATAGTGCGCTTGGTTAAAACTGCTTTAATATTCCTCATAAGAAGTACCTCTTCAAATTTTCAATATGAATACTGTATTGATGGACGCTCATTACTACTTATCCATCAATAAGATTCTCGTGAAAAAATACTCGGTAAACCAGTCAGTAAGAGATACTATAGAGGCCAAATTCTGTTGCCAGCAAGCTTTTGAACTAGAACAAACCTGATGCTTCTTCAACAAACAAAAAGAACTTTATCGGATAATCTAAAAAGTCTGAAGAAACAAACATCGCCACACTTTCTTTTGCCTTGAATACCTATCATATTGCTTAGATGACAAAAGAAAATAGTGATTCTCAGGTTAATTGGCATACTTAACAAGAAGCCTCAAAACACTTTCATAACTGATATTTATCTCACCTCATCTTTATTGTAGTATTACACATCCATTTCTAACTTCTCGTTTATTTTTTTTTTTTTAGATAAGCACTTCTATACTTAAGTCTTATTTATAATTAAAATTCTAATGTATTGAACTATAGTTGCATCTTGACTGGTTTTTATCTTTTTTTTTTCACGTTTTAGTCATAATGAATTAAATATGGATGCCTTTTTTTTTGTTATTGTCGCCTGGGAGTGGTATATTTGATATTAAAGTTGTATATGGGTGGTAGAGATGTAATATTAATGTTTTGAGTGTTAGATATGTAAATAGCATAAAATAAAGTGGTATGTATGTAAATTTCCCAAAAAAAAATTTCTTTAAGATAATTATTAATCATTAGTTAATTGGTTGAAAATATAACGACAACTAAATTAACCAAAGTGAAGCGGAAAATAAATGAGAATGGTACAATTTACAATAATTAAAGCAAGGGGAAAGGAGGGTTGTCTCCTCCCCAGGTATTTTCCAAAAAACTCTTTTTCTCTATTGTCATTACCTTTGTCAACATATACGATGACAATTGAAATTTTCCCATTATTAGAGAATTTTATTAAGAGGATATGACCTCATTAGCTTTGTTTATATTCAACTTTATTCATGGCTTATGTAAAATGCTAAACTATGCTCTCAAAAATTATTTAAAGCCATACACTGACTTTTCAATTTGCACAACTTATTCTTTATGAAAGAACTATAAAATCGAGATAGTGTATCCATATAAACATCTCTATATAGAAAAGCATTCTTCACATCATACTGCGACATGGACTGTTCACTATTGACTATAAGAGAAATTAAGATGTGTATTGCATTCATTTGCACAATAGTAGAAAAAATTTATGATAGTCAAGTTCATAGGATTAAATATATCCTTTGGCCATAAATCTAAAATTATACCATTCCAAGCTTCTATCTGCTCTATTTTTTATCGAAAAAATTCAATTGCATTCTACCGTTTTCTTTCATTTTAGTGGTTCAATGATCTCTCAAGTGTACTTATTTTCAGAGCATTCATCTCTACTCGCACGATATCATACCAATTTTTGTTTTCAAATTCATCAAATAGATTTTTCGTTACAATGGAATTCAAGCTAGATATTAGTGTTGTTGTTGTAATAGAATTAAAACAGATATTCATAAAAAAAATTTTAGGGGTAGAAAAAATGTTTAATAAAATTTGTACTGCAATGATGCACCAACACTTCTCCTCAACGAGGTATATAGTGTCCGACACGTTCAGACATGACACGTGTCCGACATGCCTTCGATACGCGTATCAGATACTTCGATGATGTATCCGATTAAAAAAATAATAAAAATAAATAAAAAACATGTCTTACAAATTTTCTCAAATTTCTTTAATATAATTTCTTGTATTTCAATTTTTTATTTATTAAAAAATTAAAATAAAAAATTTATTTTCTCTCAACAGACCCAAATCAATTGCCATCATTTAATATACCATTCCCGAAACATATCATTTTCATTTATATCAAGTATATGGAAGCTAGGGTATCACAACATCGACATCCGACGGCACATAACATCATTCGTTATAACATCAATGTTTCAAAATCGTCTAAAATTCAAAGCTTGACACTAGCAATTTTAAGAGTGTTAAAAATTGACCAGACCTAGACCCACCCCGAAAATTACGGGTTTGGGTTGACCCGTTTAAAAAACAAGTCGAGTTCGGGTCGAAAAATCTAACCCGTTTAAAAAAAGGTTGGGTTCGGGTCAACAAGTCAACCTAATTTTGACCCGGATCTGAAAGATTTATGGATTTTGCTAAGAAGCGCGCAAAGAGGAGGCGGGAATCATATTTTGTTTCATAACTTTCGTTTGTAGTTCACCATTTCTCTTATAGTTCCAAACAATTCGCTAATTTGAAAGTTCCAAACAGTTCGCCGGTATGGGTCAGAGCGGACTGGACGCACGAAATGGGATTTGGCCAAAGAAGAAGCACCCAAAATAGATTGGTCGGTCAGCGGGTCAGCGGCTCAGTCTGTTAGCCAGCCCTCAAACATACCATTTTCGAATTTAGTAAAACTCATCGATATTAAATCCTAAAAACCATTTGACAAAAGATGTTAAATCTTAATAAATCTTGTGGAACCTTTTGGCAAAACAAATCAGGAGTTATAGTGGTTAGATCGTTAAAAATGCTAATGACTATTTACTCTATTAATCATGTGATTAATCATTTAGATTTTATTGTAATAACTACATATTTAAATATTTAATTACAAATTACAATACTATTTATCTAGTTAATTATTTACATGTCACTTTAATAACTAAAAAATTTATTTCTAATTACTTGTTATTTATCTAATTAATTATCTGGGTGTTATTTTAATAACTAATTATTTGATTAGAAACTATAACACCGCCATTGTCAAGTTTCAAGCTTAGATGAGAAAAGTTAAATGATTGCGTTAGGCAATCGACAACCAGCGTAAAATTTGTCGAATAATCATGACATGAGACTTTTAATGCATTGTGTTAACTTAACATAATACAATGGAGAAAATGATTCACATAGCTGACCTTATATAGTGGGTTAAGTGCTTGATGTTATTGTTGTTGATGTAATTAAATATATAAGTACTATTTTAATAACTAATTATTTAAGAACTAATTACACTAACATATGATGCACAGAAACGAACACAGCGACATGGATACGACACGACACAGACACGGGACATGTCAATTATTGAAAATATAGGACACGGGTTAGACATGATATTATAATTTTTATATTTTAAAAATAATGTATAAAAATTGAATGAGTATAATTTTAAAAATTATTTAAAAATAATAAGTTATTTAAATAGAATTTGTGCTAAAAATAATTAATATTAGGATGTCAAGAGTCGGACGTTGATGTTGTTTATTAGTCATCGAGAGAGGAGTTGACAAGGATGTCGATAGTCAAGCATTGATGTTATGCAGTAAATATTGGGCGTCAATGTTAAGAGAGCATTTATCGTCGACGTTGTGAGGGCATTGGTCGTCGATGTTGAGAAGGCGTTTGACAAAGATGAGATGCCAAGTTGTGGGTATAAAAATTGCTAGCATCGAGCATCAATGTAAAGACAACATCAAACTTTGATATAGAGATCATTTTGAAATATTGATGTTGTAACGACATCAGATGTCGATGTTGAGATGACATTGAGCATTATTGTGAAATCAAAGTTGAAACTCACCAAAGAGAAATGAAAATGAGAATATTTAATGAATTGAATATTAAGTAGGGCGATTGATTTGGTGTTGTGGATAAAATATATAAGATACGCATGTCGAACACGTGTGTCCAATTTGTATTTAATATTTTTTTAATTGGACACATTTACAATGTGTCCGACACGTGCTAGAGGAGTGTCGGGTGTGTGTAGTTTCGGATACGTGTCGGACACTGCATGCCTCTTTGAGGAGAAGCGTCGGTGCATCATAGACACTAACGCTTATCTAACTATTCAATTACAAATTACATTAACACAGTATGCTTTTCCTCATCGCCATGTCTTCTTCGTTGTTGTTGAAGAGTCGCATGAAGTCTAACTATAGGCTTTTCACTATACTTCATAGGGATGTAATTATTTGGCATGACCCGAAAACCCGGCTCGAAGTCGACCCGAAAATTCCGGGTTAGGTTCAGCCCGTTACACAAGTGAGTTAGGTTCGGGTTCCAGGATTCGGCCCGTTTGAAAAAATAGGCCAGGTCTAGGTCAATCCGCTAACCCAAAATTGAACCGGACTGACCCAAAAACCCGCTTCACGTAAAGTCTACGAGCGGTCCACATCAACTCGAGTGAAGTCCCGTATCAGCTCTCATCAACTCGGGTCAAGCCCTCAACTCCCATCACGTGTCAGCTCAACCACCAACGAGTTGTTCGCCGTCAACAAAATGAGTCGTAGGTTGTCGCAACTTGTCGGTATCCGGAGGTTGACCCCCCATTCGTCGTCGTCTTTGCCAAGTCATCCGCCAACCCTCCATCTAGTAAACGAAGGTTGCCACAACCGAGCCGTTCGTGGTCTCTGCAACCACCATACACGTTCGCTCTACCATCATCACCTCTGCCATCTGCAACCACTACCGTCATTGTCGCCTTCGCCATCCGCTCCAACCCACCGCAGCCTCCACCTCCACCATCCGCTCTAACCCACCGTCAGCAAAGATTGAAGACAAGCCCGTGATCCGGGTTGGCAAGTCATACCGGGTTGACCCGGGTCCGAAGCGGTTCGGATTCGAGTCCAAAAAAGTGACCCGTG